GGCTCCGATAGCGACTTGGCCGTCGACAGACCAGCCAAGCACAGGAAGAGCAAGATACCCGACATGGCCGCCCAGAAACAAACCAGGCACAAGAAGAGCAAGCAGACAGATCCCGGCTCAGACAGCGACCTGGCCGTCGACAGGCCGAGCAAGCGCAAGAAGCAACCCGAGGGAATGGGCAAGCCGGAGAAGGAGAAGCCCAAGATGAAAGAGATGAAAGACTCCGATCACTCCGATATCGAGCCAGTTCAGAGACGAGGGGCCTCAGCCCCGAAACCAGGTCAGCGCAGAGAGGATGATGTTCTGCCCTCACGGATGGTCGATCCCAGCAGAAGTCGAGATGCAGGACCTGGCGGCTTTGGCTTCGGTCCCGGCAAGGGGGCTCCGGATGGCCCCAAGGGGAAAGGGAAGGGAAAAGGGAAGGAGGATGGAAACGAACAGCCCAAAGAGCAACCCAATTTTGAGCCCTCTGGCCTGCTGGCACTTGAGGATAATGCCAAGAACGGAATTCCCTTAAAGTTCACGGTGCCTGCAGAGGTCAGGCTACCAAGAACGAAGTGGCGCCTCTACATTTTCACCAAAGCCAACGAGGCACCGAAGATCATTCCGATCCACAAAGAGGTGGGCTACCTCTTTGGCAAGGACCGGCGTGTGGCGGAAGTGCCAACTGACCATCCCACTTGCAGCAAACAGCATGCAGTCCTGCACTACAGACAGACAAAGAGCGGCTTGGTGAAGCCATACATCATGGATCTGGAGAGTGTCAACGGGACATTTGTGAATGGAGATCGAATAGAAGCATCGCGCTATTATGAGCTGAAGGAGAAGGACGTCCTGAAGTTTGGCATGAGCACCCGAGAATTCGTGCTGTTGCACGGCGGCTCTGCAAACCATATGTCCATCGATCCTAAAGATTTGAGGTCACCTTCCGAAGGCTAACAAAGGGTTGGCTTCACCTGACCTCGGACGTTTCACTCTGCGCGTGTGTCGGTGATAACAGGCTCTGCGTGAGAAACAGCTTGCTCCCTTTTATCGATGTCCGTACCCTGCACTCTTCTCTCTCCTCCTGAAGCCCATATGGTGACAAGTCCCGAAATGCCTTCGCAGGGCTATGCTGCATTCGCGAGAGCTGCGGAAGCTCGCATCGCAACCGCAAGAGCAGCAGCCGAATCCGCTCTGCCTGCATCTCTTCCAGGCACACACTCAAAAGGAGCCTTGTCCGGTGGGCGTTGCATGGCCTTGGGTTTGCAATCTGAATCGCGCGGTCCATGCACTAGACCAGAGAAGGCGGACAACCTCCTGCAGATGCCGCAGAACGAGTGCGAGCATCGCCTGCGGACGCTGTGCGCGCTGCTAAACAGGTCCCTTGGATTCCCTTGGGCCAGCAAGGATGTTAGGAGATCCTTTGAAATTGCTGCATGGCCTCGCGTTTCTGTTGGGTGCACTCGATGAGATGCTGACGTCGTAGCTTCGGTCTTGAGATTTGGGCTCAAGGCATGCGTTCGGTGCAATGTCCGTGGTGGGAGACAACTCGCTGCTAGAGGAACCGCATGCTGAGCCCAGTGTGCAGGAGACTAAGCAGCCAGTCCCTGCCGAAGCCGATGCACCAAAGTCCACCCCAGACGAGGTGCAGCCAGAGAAAGCCGAGGTAGAGGCAAAGGATGACGTCGAGCAGTTCTCCGGACTGCCCATAGTCAATCGAACAGTCCCGGCAGACAAGTGGGCCAATGAAGTCCGGAGGCCCAACAGACGGTATGTCTCCTTCTCGCATATCCCCCTGTACTTCGGCTCTGACAGAACCAAGCTGAGGGTGAAGGAAAACATCATCATCGGGGTTCTCTACTACAATTCTGCCAAGGATACTCAAAGGCTGGCAACTGGCGAGCAGTATCTGCGGTGGCGGTTGACTGACCTCTCACAGCAATCCCGGCAGATTGTACTGCAGCTGCGTTGGGGGGCTTACTTGCATTGGCGACAAGGGAAGCCTGCCACCATGGCCCGAAGAGGGTCCATTTTTGCCATTCTGAACCCCGTCTTGGTTGAGATTGTGGAGAGCCACCCGGGGGGTCCCAAGGAGGCAGTCATGAGAGTTGAGAAAGGCTTGCAAGTAGAGAAGCTGGGGGACTGCCCAGCCCTGGGATCCTGCAAAAAGCAGGGCTGCAGAAATCCTTGCGATCTCCGAGAGCGCCAAAGCCATTGCCGGATGCACAAGAACATCGCATATGCCGAGAAGAGCGTTCCTCGCATCAACGGTGGGGGTGGAGTAGATGCCCGAACGACCGCCTTGTTGAAGAATCAGCAAAAGAAGTCCAGTCAGAAGGTTGCGCGAGCTTTGAAAGCGGCCCGGTTAGAGTACAACCCCGGAGCCGAGGCCAAAGAGCTCGAAGACAAAGCGCAGAATGAGAAGTTGACAAAGATGGAGCTCACCAAATCCATTTGTGAACGGCTCTTGGACAACGATTCGGATGCGAAGGAGAACTACGTAAGATGCATCCGCAACGACACCAAACTCGAAGACTGCAGCTCGTCCCGGGTTCCCAAACTGGGGCGTGGCCTTAGCAGCTCGAGCACTTTGGAAGTGACCGTCGCTGCGAACAAGCGACGAATCGAGGAGTGCGATGAACTTGAGGTCTTCTGAAGTCTTCTGATTCTGTCCCCTTATGGTTTCACCATGGCTGACCGCAGCAGGGGGAATTGCGAGAAGCCCAGGGGTGCAAAAAGCCCATGAGGCCGCTCTGCGATTGATACAAATCCTTAGCATTACCTGCTAAGGACCCTAAAATATGGGAATTATGGTCTATCCCTTATCATGGGTAATGCAGGATTTATATCATCAACCGTATCTCGTCTCCGGTTTCCCACGACATAGTCGGCCTCTCCTCACCTGTGCCAAGGCCGCAATGGCCCACGGCGTGCATCAAGCTGCTGCTGCAAATCTTGCAGCTGTCTTTGCTGCACGAGCCGTGATATATCAGGCGGTGTGAGCATTGAAGAAGCTTGCGCCGTCTCTTGTTCTGTTTGCTTTCGAAGGACATCCTGAACAAGAAGACGCCAGCAGCCACGGGAGCTGGCGTGAAGGTCCCTCCGTTCCATTCTGTTCCGATTCACCGCGAGTCATTCACCAGCTGCTGCGAGTTTCTTTCAGTTGATGCGGTCGGAGGCCGTGGCAAGCACTGCAGGCCAACATGTTCGCTGCTAACACTTCATATTTAGGGTGACACTCGTGTTGATTCACGTCCTGGTTTGTGCGAGGTGTCGGCCCGCAGACAAAGCTCAAGCTTCAGGACCAGAACCAATCAAAACGCATGGCATAGTGAGTGACAGGGCATGGATGCGAGAGTGGTGCTGCAGAATCCCACCTCATGCTCTGCAGCTGCTCAGTATGTCGAGGAGGATTTGGCGGCCTCTGTCGCGCAGCATTTGGCCGATGCTGGCTTCCCGCCAGCGAAGGCCCCCCGATGTGTGTGGCTATTGCTGTCTTGCTGTCACGCTCAACAAGCTGCGTTGGCAGAGGTTGGGGCAGAGGTGTGGAAAGCGCTCGAAGCTGTCTACCGCTTATCTTTAGGGAATTGGGCTGTCCAGCGGCTTCAGTGCAGATGAGACGATGACCATCAATCGGATGCTTCTTCATCTCATGTTTCGCCCATGAATCGATCGCTCTTCAAGTGGTCATCAGAATCATCCGAGACGTCAGTTCAGTTACGCACCCAAATGGCTCAAGTTATCAAGCTACGTGCGCAGTAGTGCCCGTGAGCGGCCCGACCTTTGGATGGGAAGCGCAAGTGCGCCCATGGCGAAGCCTACCCACTGTTTCGAGTTTCAGATCAATGGGCAGAAGTATTCCTTCAACACGGTGAAGAGTGACGTAGAGAAACACTCTCTGCCACCCTACCAGGGCTTCATGGTCATCCCAGGTCCAGTGACCGTACCCCTTCAAGAGCAGGACGAGGTGTGCGACTTCACAATCTACCAAGTGGACAAACCAGATGAAAAAAAGGTCTTCTCCTCTTTGAGACCCACCGAGTTGCTGCGGAAGCTCAATACACCACACAAGGCCGGAACCAGGCCATCCGGCGAGACCTACGAGGAGTGGGCCGAATGGGAGAAGACGTCGCGAACCAGCATTCAGTTCACGGCCTTCGACATCAGCGCGCGAGATGTGCCTGGCAGCAGCTTCTTCACGAGGTGATTGAGTTTTAATTTAGTCCCATGTCTGTCTTGCTGTGCTGAATCTGAAAGTACAGCTCCTTTGCCCGAAACCCTTAGCCCGAAGCGTCTCCTCTTTCTCGAAGTTCTTTGCCAACTTGGAGCTGCAAGTGTACAGCATGCTGGCGACTGTGGCAAAACGACCGGAGGCCTTGCCTGGAGATGCCTGGAGTACCACAGATGCTGCAGGACACATGTTAAGTCATGTGAAGTCATGTCCATTGGTCTAGAAAGAGATGGATACCCGGAGAAATTGCACGGTTTGCATTCAAAGATCTTTGTAGTGATCCCGTTGGGAGCATGGACATACAGTAGCCTTGATGGCTGTTGTGCAACTTGTACCAGCATTACGAGCGGAGTCAGCTGATTGTCGACTCATGTATCCTGCATTGTAGTTTCGCCCCAGCCAGGCGGAAGGAAATGAATTACGCACCTCCCTCATTGTAGACGGGCCCCGAACTTGCAGCCGCCGCCCGTCATGTCCTTGATTGGTTCCGTGTAATGGACGCGGACTCCTTCCGCCAGTGCATCGCGCTGATCTCATCACCTTCGCTCCTGCCTGAGCAACGACGAGCTTTGGAGGCTAGTGCCCCTGTTTAGGGTTTAGGGTTTAGGGATGTGTTTCTTGGGAGTTGGGGGCTAAGTTTGTGGGTGGACCACGCCACAGCGCGGTACAGCCTGGGCCAGTTCTGAAGAATGTCTTCAATCATTGTCGCTGGGGAGGCCAATCATACGCCAATCGGTCAGGATTTCGAGATTCTGACTGCGCTCACAAGACAGCCCCCCCGTCAAGGATCGGACAATTGCAGTGTTGTCGGTTGACGTGTTCACTTCGTGGCGACCACAAGCGCCACAAACAGAAGTGTTGTTAAAGTCATGCCGGGTGGCACACAGCATGATCCTGCAAGAAAGTGTCAGTCAATGTTGGTTATAAGTGTCTTCTGTATATCTAGACATCTGGTTCAAGACACGCAAGCCTCAGCCGCATGTTCGTGGCTCATGCAAAGGGTCTTTGGAAAAGCTTGCAGGCATCGCTGCTTCAGCTTCGGCGATCTCCAGCTGCTGTTGACGCAGCGCCCTCGGTGTGTTCTTCGCATGCTGCTAGACAGAACTCTAGACAGACTCGGAGTTCCTTTGCACAAAGTCATATACTTAATTAACATGAAAAAAGTAATAATAGCAATAGCAATAAGAAGAAGAAGAAGAACAAAGCAAAAATTATGCGTGTCCGAGGTCTGCTCGCAGGTGCTGTTGGGAAGCGATGCTTGCGTCTCCTACCACGCTGCCAACACCTTGAAGTATGCTGTGCCCAAGGCTCAGCCCAGGTTTAGGGTTTGGGGTTTAGGGCAGCTGTTGGCGTGAGTTCGTTGTTGTGCGTTTCGGTTTCACTAGCCGACTCGCCTTGCTCTTGTCCTTCCAGCAGTACTGTAGATCCTCTAAGAGATTCCTTCGGGCTCAGATCCCGAGTCAGGGTCTCTCACCCAAGGCTCTTCAGCTGGCCTTACCTCTCGGACGCGCTCCGCGAGAAGGTGGCGGCTACTGTAGTTTTCCGCCCAGTGATGCAAGATGTTAGGCTGCACCGACATCTCGTGGCTAAGCGGGTGCATTTACCAGAATGCTGAGCACAGCTGTTGTCTTCGGCAGACTTCTGATTGTTCGAAAGTAGATGTTCTTGACTGAACAGCTCCACCAACAGCCTTTCTGCAAGGCCTTGCATGCCTGGCTCTCGGCCCTGTCACCTCCAAAGCACCTGCTGCTTGGCCGACAAAAGATGTGGCTGACAGCGTTCTCCCTGCAGTGCTGAGATTGTGTGCGTTCATGAGCCATGAGGTCGGCTTCTGGCTGGCGACCTGTCAAGAACGAAGCACTGGAAGCCATCGCATTGTACTTCAAGCTACTTCGCCTGCAAGGAGTCTTGCTCCTGGGGTTTGGATCCTGGATGCCTCGAGACACAGCAAAACATGTGCGCGCGGCATAAGGAAGATCTACATCGCATCTAACGAGCTACCAAGCGGTCCCCACTTCTCCTTGGACGTGGCGGCTGCTTTCCTGTCGGCACTGCAGGCCGTGAGTTTAAGATCTTTCGATGTCGGCCAGCATTTGCACGCTCCACCTGAACCCTAAACCAAACCTTAGGCCTCAGGCAAAAAAATCCCAAACCCCAAGCCCTGAACCTCTAAACCCCTAAACCCCTTACCCCTAAACCCTAAGCCCAAGCGGGAGGGAAAACAACCCTAAACCCCTAAAGCATAGCTCGCCCCGGCAGGATGGGAGGAACCTAAGCCCCGGCCTCGGTGCAAAGTCGTCGGAACTCTTGCGATTCGGAAAAAAACCGTACAGCTCTGCTGCCATTTCAGTAACCATGATGGTAACTGCTATGGTATATAGCTCTTATCAGTATTATGGTATCCCTGACAGGCAACCCTTAAAGTGACTCCTTCTGCCACACTCATATTATGTAGCCTGCTCTGTATTAAGGCCTCCTGGCTGCCTCGGTGGAGGCACAGCAGAAGGCACAGCGGCGGTTTGCTCGCTTCGCATTGCTTCCCTTGCTTCGGGCGGCCGCCGCAGAGGCAGAAGTGTTGGAAAACCACCCTAAACCCTGGACCCTAAAAACACAGTCTTGTTTTACGCCAAAGCCACCCTCGCTAGTGGGCATAGATCCTCTTCCCTGCGAGAGGGAAAAAGTACCCTAAAAACCCTAAGCCCTTCATGGTTTAGGGGCTACCCAGCTCCATGTTTTGGTGGCCTGGGCGCCCCAGATCTAGGCCGTGTTTGGCCCATGAGCGAAAGCGCCTTCCCCCGAATTGGCACAGCCATCAGCTACGATTAAAGCTGCCCTTGAGGTGCACTGGGATTGCTTGATTGCTTGCGCAAACTGCGAGTTTTCAGAGAAGTCCACCGACTGGCAAGCGGCCTGCGCGGAGGCCTGGTCTAAGGAGTTCACGCACAGAGGCACTGAGCGAGCTCTCGGTGTGCATCGATTCGCGTGCAGGTGGCCCTGGCAATCTCAGCACGCGGAGACTGGGATTTGGCACTCCAGATCGCAGTGCAGTGCCCGACAATGCCGGCACGAGTCTCAGAACCCTCCGCATGACCCAGCAAAGTAAGATTTAAAGCTGAAGTCGCTGCACTGATCCGCGAGAGGCTATCTGGAATCTGGTCGTGGACGCGGCCTCCTCCAGGCAGTGAGCTTCTGTGTATGCATCGGTCATTGCAGCACACCTGCATCAAATCAGTTTGGCTCTTGTACTCCGATCTCTGGATGCTTGTCGGAAGAAGACATTCGTAAAGCGAGATGTCGCACTTTGCGAAGATCAGACCAGAGCTAGCTGCCTGCTCGTTGTTTGGAGGCCTGCCAACATATCTGCGGCTGCGAGCTGTGCTTCACGATTACTTACGGACCCATCTCCGGGCCAGAGATCAAGCTTGGCAAGGACACTGTTTCTTCACCTAGCATTCGGTCCTTGTAGTACCGTGTTAAGACCCAGCTCTTCGTCGGGTCTCGGGCTATTTAGCTTGGGAGATGTGATGGACAGCAGCACAAGAAGAGCTCCAAGCCTCTAAGTCGTGTGGAAGTTTTCAGGATTGCGGTCCGATTGATGCAGGCCCAGGGCCATGTTCCTTGAAATATTATAGTCTACCTAATAGTATATTATGGTATATTATGGTCTAAATTATGGTATATTGTGGTATATTATAGTATAATGTGTGAGTCGTTACCAGTTAGGCCGGGGTGCTTTCTCCTTGGTAGGTGGACTTCAACAGCGAGGAGGGGCTGTCGAGTTATGACAGCCTGGTCGCGATCCTGCAGGTTCTGAGTCGACAGCAGCAGGATTCGCAGCTTACAGATTATTTGGTAGAAAACTTCTTCCAGCATATACTCCTGCAAGGGAATGTGCCAGATGCATATGATGAGACTTTGGGTACCTCTGCCGGTACGAGTTCCGGTCATGACCTGTTGACATTGATTGCCAGAATCGGCCGAGATTGCCATCACATTACCACTGGTCTTCAGCAGCTTCTCTCGCGGCCGCTGGACAGTGAGTTCGCCATGGACGTCCGGCATGTGTCCTTGTGCTTTGCATCCGAGTTCCTGGAGGTTAGCGATGAAGCTCTCTGCTTAGCCGCGGCAGTCAGCACTCAGACAAATGGTCTGAGTTCGCCACTACTGGTCGCTGACAGCCTGCGTTTTTTCCAAAGGGTATGCGCGCGAGGCGTGCTGTTTAGTGACAAAGCGCAGCTGTTCAAGGTTGCGCTCAGTCTTCTGAATGCAGAAGTGGTTTTGGAAGGGCTGGCAGTTCTGACTGAAGTGTCAAAATCTGCCGACTCGCGAGTGTTATTTGCGGCACACTTTCAAGAAGTGTGGTCAAACCCTCAGATGCCGCTAAGTTTGGTGAATGGCTTCTGCCGATGCATGCGCAACTGCGTAGCTGTGGCCGAATTGGTCGCCTTAGCAGATCCGCTGCGACAGGACGTGTTGAAGCAGTTGGCTGAGTGGGATCCCAGATATGTGAATGGGCACCAGCTAGCGCTGACAGAACGTCGATTTGGCGCTCTGGGCGGACTGGCACCCTTGGGAAATGAGTTTGAGCAGCCGATCATCCAGGCACTGCAGACCAGGCTGTGTGGACAATATCCAGAACACCTGCTGCCGTGTGCTGCGCCTCTACTAGCTGCTCTTGCCAAGAGCAGCAGCGAGTGCGGATTGCGCCTGGCTGACAGCGTGTGCGTGGCAATGGCAGCTCTCCCAGCCGAGAGTGAGCTGCAAGAGCACACGCTGGACTTGTGTGAAGTTCTACTAGAAGCTCCAGCAACTTGTGTGAGCGAAGCTTTGGTTGTCCTTTGGACCAAATGCTGCGGCTGTCACATCCGGCGCTGCTTCGAACTGATGAGCAAGGCCCCGCTGACTCAAAGGTCCTTCGAGTGTTTGTCTGTCGGGCTTGGCCATCCAGATGGACATATCCAGCAGCTGGCTGTGCGCTCTCTAACGGACAGACCCTTCCAGGGAGATGTCTCAGACATGTTGCCACGTGTCCTGCAAATTGCGGTCTATCAGGATGGACCCCTTCTTGAACGTCTGGCTGATTTGTTTCTGGTCTATACAACTGCTTCTGCATTGATGGCAGCAGCCAGTAAGCTTGTGGCGGCTCTGCTGCATGCCTCCACGACTAGCCCTGTCTCTTGAGCCGGAAGGCCACACTCCCACTGTTGAGACTCAGGTGGGAATAACCGACCATATCTTGAGGGCGATGGTGCTGCAGAGCTTCGAGAAGCTAAGCACCCAGCCCCTCGGACATGCCTATTCTCGAGCATCTTCGGGAGGACAGCGTGATACTGCCAGCCATAGAATGTGAGATAGTATCATATCATATGATACAAGGTAGCATGGTGTAGTACAATTTAGGAGTAATATCATATCATGTGATACCATATAGCATGGCTTAGTACAGTTTAGGATACTGCATTATAATTCTAACGAAATCATCTAGCTGGGAGTTGGGGGAACCTGCTAGCTCGTGCTGGCCTCTCCTAGGTCCTGGCCTCGTCCTGACCAACAGAGCTAGTGAAGGTCTAGCTACAAAAGACCAAGGGTGGTCACAGGAGTTTACTAGCATCAAAGCAACACACAAGTCTCATCAAAACTAAGCAAGAAGTAGAGGAGCCATGAACCACAAAATGCATAAAGCTACTTTGACTTGTCAGAGCCATGGATCTAGAGCTTCAGAGGTCGGCATAGGCCCCAGGAGTGGGAGGGGTCTTGGAGTTTTTGGGCCCGAGGGCTTTCCCAGCGCTTCTTGAGGCACGAGGATCCCAAAGCACACTTCTTGCGGTTCGTCGCGGAGATGAGGGCTCTGACACTGTAGCGCACCTGCGTAGGAAAAGGAGAAGCTGCATACTTGCACTGTCTTGCACTTGCCTGCCTGTAGCTCTTCGGCCGAAGTCATTGGCTGAGGCGGGCGCAACGCAGAAAGCAGTACTTATGGGGGCGAGACAGGCTGCAGAGGCAGTTGCGGACAGGGCTGCCAGGCGCTTCGCAGCAAAGCCAAGAGTGGTTTGAGCGAACTCCACAATGAAAGATGGTGAAAGGTCCGGGAAGCCTCCCAAAGAAGTGGCACTGGCGGCCAGGCCAGAAGCTTCACCATATATGCCGGCCTTGCGCAACCTTGGCCTTGCCAAGGGAAGCCACGGTAACCGCAGGGCTCACGAAGGAAAGCCTGATGCTACAGATAGACGCCCGCTCAGTGAAGCTGCTGCCTGTCCGGAACTCTCCCTCTGCATTTCCACTTCGTTCACAGCTTCTTCGCACCATGCGGATCTTAGCGAGCTTGCAGTCGTACTTAGGTGGGCTCCGCTTCAACACGTGCAGTCGCTGCCGAGATGGCTCGCAAGCAGGTAAGACGAGGGCTCAAGCTTCGGGGAATGCAAGCTTTGAGGGTTTAGGAAATTCAGGGTTCAGGGTTTGAGGCGCTGTGGAAGTGAAGAAGCTTCATTGATCTGTGCACTCGGAGGCTGGATGGCACGAAATCGCAGCTGCAGTTGCCGGCGGCTTATGGCTCTATAGAAGTCCCTTTGGATGCAACGGCAGAGAGAGCGAGAGAGAGAGAGTTCCCCCAAACCCTGCACTCTCCTACCAAACCGACCCGTGTAGCAAAAGAAGCCATAACTACAGCACCGAGCCTCTACAACTCTACCATACCCTCCTACTCCCCCCCCCAAAAAAAAAAAAAAACTCCATAACCTTAAAAAGCTGTCCCTAGGCCCTAGCGTTTTCCTGGACTGACGCTCGGCTCTGAGCAGGTCGAGGCCGCCCAGGACTCCTTGCTCCCAGCAGCCGGGGCCCCTCTACTCCTAGCGATCGCTGTTCTTTTGGGGCCTGAGTGGTTTATTGCGGGTTTAGAGCCTTTGTTCTTTTGGGGTTTAGGGTCTAGAGCCTCTGTTCTTTTGGGGTTTAGGGTGTAGAGCCTTTGTTCTTTTGGGGTGCTTGCGCGCCTTCACTGCCGACCTGCTGAGGAGTTCGTACCGCGCATGGCGGCAACAGCAGCTGCAGAGCAGGCTGCGAA